GGGCTAAAACAGCAGTTCTAATAGTATCCCCCCCCCTCCCGGACAGATATAAAAAAAACCCGCCAAAACTCAAGTAAACCCAGGGATCTTTGTCTGTACTCCATCACCTCGTCGTTATTTATGATCAGATTAGCCATTATCCATGGTTTTATTATTCATGAAAGTTTTAATAGCAGTAATGTGCATACTCGGTACGTTATCTCATTTGTTTAAACCAGAAAATAGTCTGGAAATAAATTTTATGGCAAGAAAATGAGATGGTCATTATTATCGTAATATGCTGAATAACATAATTGGCTAACAATATACACGTATCACCAGTGTTGTCAAAGCTTAAGTTATGTCACTGTGCTAATGCAGAACCAATTGTGATTTAACTTTTGTTTGTTATAATTAGGTCATGACCCTCAAATGAATTCATATCTTTAGGATTCTGTGCATCTCATTATTTGCTGCCAACGGTCTGTGGTGGAATCACCCTTAAAGGAGCTAAACGTCTAACTTAATATTTTCCATAAAAATGAAAATTAAAAACACGAATTAAAATTGGCCCCATTCAATCAATATTGATGTTGTTATCTTGTTGTGAAAAAATGGGATTCTGATCTATATATATATTTGTGACTGTCGTTTGTCTGTCTGTCTGTCTGTCTGTTCGGGGTTGGCGGCTACACTAGGTACAGGGGTAGCTCGGACCGGGGAGTAACATAGGCCAGGTGGCGTTAGTCTACCACTTCCGGTTTCGGAGTTATGACCCCCGAGCGAAGCCGGTCTGTTTGGGGTTGGCGGCTACACTAGGTCTGGCCCGAGTCTGAAATTTGGGGTATAGGGGTAGCTCGGACCGGGGAGTAACATAGGCCAGGTGGCGTTAGTCTACCACTTCCGGAGTTATGACCCCCGAGCGAAGTCTGTCTGTTCGGGGTTAGCGGCTACACTAGGTCTGCCCCGAGTCTGAAATTTGGGGTATAGGGGTAGCTCGGACCGGGGAGTAACATAGGCCAGGTGGCGTTAGTCTACCACTTCCGGTTTCGGAGTCATGACCCCCGAGCGAAGCCGGTTTGTTCGGGGTTGGCGGCTACACTAGATCTGCCCCGAGTCTGAAATTTGGGGTATAGGGGTAGCTCGGACCGGGGAGTAACATAGACCAGGTGGCGTTAGTCTACCACTTCCGATTTCGAAGTTATGACCCTCGAGCGAAGTCGGGTATCCTGCTAGTATCTAATATTTAAGACAAAATGAACATTTTAAAATCAGCATACGAGTCGTGTATTCTATGGTTTCGAATGCCATTTGTAATGAACAAAGAAAAACAGATTATGCAAGACAATTAAGAAGTAATTAGTACTGGCTGATTCACAAACAACTAGATAATAATAATAATAAAAAAAACCCAAACAAAACCAACGTTTAGATCGGACTAAGCAGGCGTAATCGACTGCCGCTAAATTTGGACTGCTCCCGTGTTTCACCGAACATACATGATTAGAAATTACAATAAAAAATTTAAAATTGGAATATAAAATCACTTTATACACATTCATATTACATTAATGTGCTTTTAGACCCCCTTTTGTCTATTTTAAGGTTCCGAAGAACAACGGAAAAATAACGGTTCTGCTCTAACTTTTCCCAAACGTTTTGTTGGGTTAAACGCTTTCTGCCTAAGCTGGAGAAACATTTTGTAATTTATTGCTTAAAAGCATGCATAAAGTTCAAGCACAAAACTTTTCTCGATCAATTAAGTTTCCTTTAAACCGAGTCTGATTTCATCTGAGCCATCTTGGAATTGTGACGCCAAATGACCAAGTATTTCAAGTTTCATGTAGACCTACTTAAATTGGTTAATTGGGCCGGAGAAGAACAACAAGAACGAGATAAGTAGCGCACAAAATGTAAATTGAAACACTTCTACTTTGATTCTTGACCAAAAAGTCAACAAATGGAAAAATTCGGAAAATAGAAAAATAGAATTGTGATAAATAAACGATCGAGTTTAGATTATTTTCTTTGTAGATTGTATAATGTTTCGGTCCATCTTTGGTCTAATTTAGTTACTATTTTATTCTGAAAACCTCCAAGATTACGCCATATATCTTGATATTGTTTACGAGGACTTTTACTGCTGACAGTGATCTAGATCTAAGATGACTCGTCTATTATATATCTTTTGATGTCAGGCCCATTAAGATTTTTATAAATACAGCTTTCATAAGGTAATAATAAATGTCTATCACTTCGTCCTTCAATATTGTTTTAAAAACATTATGGCAACATTTTTCTTCATTGAAATGATCCATCCTCGCCGAGGTCGTCACATTGTGTCGAAAAAAAAAAAAAAAAAAAATACGGTGTTAAGTCGAGGACGTGTGGTTGTCCCCGGATGTGGATGTATTTCTCCAGTCAATTCCACCTGCTCTTTTGTAAACATCACTAATGCCTGATATTACAGAATGGAGTGGAGGGGTGGGGGTTACATTCCCATCATCCACGCTTGTAATCAATTTACAAAATCTATCCCCAGATAAAATTATAGAAAATGGCGCCATTTTATCAGCTTTAATAATCTGTGCTAGAAGAAAATAAGGCTAGAAAAATCCTGTTTATAAAAGTATATATCATATCATAGATATTCATGTAAATACCACTTCAACCCCTTGACCTTTATTCATAACATTCCTTTAATTTAAAACAATTTCCTCTTCTAATTTATCTATCAGTGGAATAATTGGATCAACTGAACTCAGGATTTATAAATACTAATTCTATATAAACTCAGCGACATTATTTGTCTAAACTCCACGTTGTTTTCAAGATATTATAGTTTGTGGTTGTCCGTATGATTTGTGCCATTGAAGAAAGGGGTGCTATTCAAGGATGTCCGATTTTAAAAAGGGTAACATAATCTAAATTAGCGTTTAGATTTGCGCACCATTTTTTGAATAGTCATTGTCAAATATATTCTTTGGATTTCAGTCCATTCCTTGCTATGTCTGGTAAAAATGATTCAACAGGCATCGCGATCTCTTACTTCTCAAACCCAGTATAACGCTAACTAAAAAAAATTTTCAACCCGTAGAACATGTAAAAAAAAAAACGTTGCACGTTTTTTTAAACTAAAAAATGGTGCAGTTAGCCTAAACTTACTATTAGACCGGAGGCTCAGTGCGGGGGTGTCCATCAAATGGGCAGAAATCCAGACCCAACTTTCATAGAGTAAAATTTTGCGTAGATTACGGTGCTGAGTTGTAATCAGTCCGCCGTTGAGGTGTTTTAGAGATATTCGGGGTCAAAGGTCAAATGGGGTCACTTGTACTGAAAGTGAATGCGCAGCCATTCTCGTGTCATGAAAATATGCTGAAAATGATCGAAAGTAATCACTCTTTTAATAAAAATGTAAACTTGCCAAATTCACCTTTGTTCTTAGTGACCCCGGAGGTCAAAATGTAAAATTTTCCATTTTTGCACTAGGAAGATTAAAAGCAATAAAATGCCAGGTAAAATATAAAAACTAAAGCGAAACCCGTTCTAATTGATAGTAGGAACATTTAGAACTTATCTTTAGGTGGTCTTAGCACCGAACTTTTACTTTGGAACGTCGAAAAAGATCTTGCATAACAGAACCAACGGACTTCGAAACCTGTTTCAAAAATATGTAAAAACTGTCAAATCGAAATCTCCCCGATTTAGTTTAACAACGATTGTTATACATGATGAAACTAGTTGTGCGAAAAACACTTGAATAGTTTCATGGTTGGACCAAATCTCATACTTCAAAGCCTATAAACATTTCGGTACAAACTTGATGTTCATGTTGCTTCCATTCATGTGAATTTGATAAAATAAAATGTGAGCTTAACGTCTTCAAAGTGTCTTTCACGTTGTATCTTTAGTCCTGCTGTTAATAAGTTTCCAAACATACCTCGGTCTTTATATTTTGTTAAAGATATCATTCAAATGGACAAAAATTCCGTACGTAATCAAATATTACCTCAAGTTTAATCAAACCTGTCTGTTATACGCTTGCATTGATAACTGTTGTGGAGAAATAACCTTAGAAGAACACTGATTGTATTGTATGTTAAAGTGTATCAAAAACTATTTGGATTCTTCTAAGATCATGTTTACCTTGTTTTCTTGCAGATTATGAATTTAGGATATATGATGTAATAAAGTATATGTTGACTTAATAGGTGGGTTGCCTCATTAGGATTTTTTGAGAAATGGGCCCTTTGTTATGTTAAATTTTCTATGAATGGGTTACAGATTGTACCCCCACTTAAACATGGAGTCTTCCTTTTTAAAGATACATTCCCGCGTACAATCTGGGTGATTTGATGATATATTTGGACTAAAAACATATTCAAACTGATTAATTTATCATAATTTTACTTCAAATCCTTCTCAAAACATTGTAATTGCCAAGGAATATCCCTGCTATATAAAATCGATCAAAAGAGGTCATGTTTGTGTCACGTGACTTTACCTCTCTCGGTACCTAGCAACGGGTGCGAAGTCGGAGGAGAATTCATTGCATACACAAGACGATGTTGTCTTTAATCGCTGACTATTTAGTACAAATATTGAATCCTAATTAAATTCTCGGATTGTACACCGCCAGCGTCTTTTCCCCTGATTCTTTTATCTCATAAAGTGTTGTACGTCTAACTCTTCATAAAGTTTATCAACATGTACATCAAGCGGTCAATCTCCGCGTGCATCCTTTGACGTCACGCGTGCAGATATTCCTAATCGTCGGGCTGTCAATTAGGGGAACCCTTACATTTTTGTTCTGTATACGCCCCATGAGTGTTTTTCAGGGAATCCAGTATTTTTCTAGTAAGATTGGATGTCTCTATTTTCCATATATACCAAAATTGCCATACTTTTATTGGAAATAAGCACCCGGTAAATACTTTTTCTGGGAACGTGTCTTTAAGTAAAGGGATAAACAACCATTTAACCTATTGTTATTGGAATATATGAAGACGATATTGTGTAAACACAAATACGTGACGCCAAGTGGTCGAAGCATCCCACATAATATATAAATACATCTCTGCCGAATTTATAGTATATTACAGTTCGGGTGGTGAGAGATTGGCCATCATCAGCATCAACATGACTTTCTTCATGTCTTTGAGTCTATTATTCGTTGCGTCGGTGATCTTAGACAATAATCTTTCGGTTGCTGAAACAGGTATGTTTGATTTATGTATTTGTTATTTAACACGGTTAAACAAATAAGGAATGCTAAGCAGTAAAAATAAACGACCTAAATTGATTTAAAACTTTGTTGTTTTTTAAGTTTATTTGATGAATTATTTTAAATTATATAATTTTGATTTTAATATATCAACTCTAGTCAAAACCGACAACTTAAGTTTAAAATTTCCAGTCCAAAGTTAAATTCACAAGAGTACTTTTCTCAAAATCTTAGTTTTAAAGGAGCTAAGTCTCTAACTCAATATTTTCCATAATATTCGAAACTAAAAACACGATTTAGAATTCAATTTTGATCAATTTCAATCAATATTGGTGTTGTTATCTTGCCGTGAAACTATAGGATCCTAATATCCAATATTTAAGACGTAATTAACATTTTATAATTAGTACACGAGTCCTGTACCCTATGTCTTCGGGTGCCATTTTGTAACGAACAAATAAAAACATATCTTACAACACAATGTGGGACTAATTAGTAAAGGCTGATTCACGACAAAATAATAATTTAAAAAACGTGTCGACCAATTTGAACTGTTTGCGTATTTCACCGAACAGAATCGATTAGAAATTTCAACATTTTTTTCAAAAATTGAATATAAATATACACACATTCATATTACTTTAATGTGTGCTTTAGTACCATTTTTGTCTGTTTCAAGTTTACAAAATCGTGGCAATCGTTACGGAATCTTCCTGCGGGATTATTGTAACAGAAAAATGTCTGATAATATCTGACCCCCACTCCGCCCCCCCCCCCCGCCCCGCCCCAACACGTAGTTGATATATAGAGAATACAATAAATAAATATATTGACACTTAAAGTCTCTAAACGTCATTGCGTGATTGCGTATTCCTTGCAAACTCTAAAGGGAATATCAGTCCCAAAATGAATAAATTCCGTTCAGTAGTTAAACAGATTTAAAATACAGATGTGACGTCACCCTTTGATGTTGGCGTACCATTATTTCAAATAATCGCACGGGCAACTTGCCAATAGTACTTTATTCATACCAGTGAGATATTGGACTAGTGTGACGTAAAAGCTCGTGCGGAGTGTCAGTATTTTAAGATGTTTAATGGTCTCGAGCTTACGACATTGCGTAATATATTGTAAAAACATTCGGGCCTACGGCCCTCATGTTGTTACAATATATTACTTAATGTCTCGCTCTCGACCATTAAACAATACATAATGAGGAATATTGAAAATTTCGTAACATTCGGCATCCTCTACTGACGATAAAAACAGGATGCTTAAAGCAGTCAAGATTCAAAACGATCAAATATGTGGTCAAAATTTATATACATGTATCTTATTTATATATATAGAAGCCGTGAATGTACACACGTGCTATTCAAAATTGACAGAATAGAATTTTAATGAACAATATTATCTCAATGCGGCTTATCTTTTCCAATATGATGAGATGGGCATTAAGTTAAATGACACTAAATATATACCCTTAATGGTATATCAAGAATGTTTTAAGTAACACTTATCAATAAAAAAAAATATTTGTTCATGGTTTTAATAATATTATGGCCAGGTTTCTAAAAACGTCCTTAGTTTAATTAAATACGGAAGCATACGCCTCGTACCGTAGTATGTTCGCCAGTGTTATTATGTGGCGACAACTTCTTTTTCTTCGAAAATTACAAAAAAAACTATAATATAAAAAAAAAAATTAAAACATAAATAAAATCCGGAAAAGAATCAATTGTTGAAATGCCAGGAAAATATTTACCGATGTCAATCCAACATTATAAATTTACTCCCAGTTGTAAGTCTTTATGGCTGCTTATACACCTCCTGTTCTTTTCATTTACTTTGGACAGAGCTGAATGCTTTCGATTTACAAACATAAATGAACTCTTTTTCCTGCAAAGATATCGTAAGTGCTTATTTATATATACAAACAAGGAAACTTTCGGTATACATATATGCTGGGTCGGATAAACCTTATGGGGGGCCCGGGAGAAGTTAATAGGGGGGGGGGGCTTGTATCTGAACATAAATTTCAAACTTCATTGAAGGTACGAATCCCAACCAGTCCTTTTTTAAAAGACAAACTTTCAATAACGTATGACGGCTCTCTTACATTTTCTGACGAACTGGGGGCATTGTAATAATATAGATATCTGGAGATCAAGCAAAAGTCAAAATTACCCATACAGTCCATTTGTGTGTAAAAAGGGTCCTATTGAACGCCAGAACTGTGGAAGTGGTGTAATCACAGATAATCTCAAGAAATTCTACAACCCGAAGGTTTCGCTATGGGTACTGATTGTGTGCCTTATGTATCAAGATTGTTATATTCATATGAGTCACAATAATTTATACATATGTATAATTTTATACCGCGTCGCGACTCTTTCCAGAAACTCGTGTATTCCGTTTTCCAATACATGTTATTTGTGAAGAAACGCTGTAGAAAGTAATAAAGCAGTTGATCAACCTGGTAATTAAAAAAGACCTATATTTAGAAATATATACAATATAATTTAATATAGTTAATCGCATAATTCCCAGCCACACACCTTTATTCCTACTAAAAATGGATGCCGAATCCAAATTGTCACTTGGTTCCATCTTTTTTTTGATAAGTACATTGAGCCTTGCTATCATGGTAAAACAAAATTAAGAAGCCCGAGAAAAAACTGGCTGTGGCATCCGGTTAGAGGATAAGGGTATGTGATTTATATTATGAACTGCTAGATGCTTGTTTGATTTTATATTTAGTTTGTTTTGCATTGTTATATTTATATTTTGCTGTATACCATGCTAGTATCCTCGCAATTTATAATATCAGCTTTATTACCCCTAATATATTGCTTGTTTTTAAAAGCAACATATAACACAAATCTGAATGTAAAAGATGAAAGCGGTCACACCAAAAAAGAAAGAGACATAATTTCTTTTATATGGCATTATCAGAAATAAAGATGGCATTTTGGAGCTTAGCAGACTACCTATTAATTATTTTCAGCGAAGTACAGTATAAAGTACATAATTTGCGTTTTTAATAGGCGCTTTCATAATGCTACATACATGTAATATACTTGCATGGTATTGATTCTAGAATATTTAAATAATGAATGAAAAACAAGGTGGGTTTATTTAAATAGCTGGAGTACCGGTGTGCGTTACATTGCAAGGAATGTAATAAAAGTCACGTATGTTTATGAATATTGATGATATGCTGTAAATAATACATGCATTAATATAACGGTACTTAAACATAGAAAAACATAAAGATTTAGAACCTACAAATGGACGGTGTTATGCAAATGTGATTTAACCCCAAATTTGAAATTTTGAGAAAACACCGAAAATAGAAAATAGAACCCATTCCAATAAAGAAAAAAATTCAAAGTCCCAGAAAACTTTTGTCACTTTAACATCATGAAATACAATATAGGACTAAAATGTACTAAAATAATAGTTGAAATATGGAATAGTAACCATGGTAACGCATGAAATGTGATTAGGTCATTTTTGCGTAACTTCCAACCAAAATAATCTTAATTTGCGTAATTTTGCCCCAAAATGATACAATTGATTAAACTAATTATTCATCACTAAACTCCAATTCAAAGTCTATGATTCCATTAAAGCTATCAATGTCTTTTCTTAAATTTATGTCACAATCAAAGCCAGTATAAAACTGTGTGCTATCACCAGGAATAGTGTGCTTCAAATTTTGGATATCCTTCGCACAAAAATTAAATAGAGTGTGGTGAGGTTGTGGTGAAATGCGGGAAAACTCTTTTAAGTGAGAAGGCATTTTCATGTTCTCACTATGCGTACACAATGCCCCCGCTACTCTCTTGGCACACACAATTTGCGCCGCACAGCAACGTCTCCACCGCTCTCAACACGACGCTCCAGCCCCATCATTGATACGCTGTTACAATGCTTTCACAGTGATTAGTGGATCATTGGTCTGTAGGACAGATACTGAGCCTTATATTAGGAGATCTAAAAAATAACCTAACTTCACACATAAATCACGACTTCGCTACGACCTAAAAAATAATCTGCCAGATCGTGTATGAAAGCGGCATGGACGTGGCGAGATCTTTGTGAGCATTGTATCGAGAGGCAGTGAAAGCGGGGACAATGTAGTGGAAGCGAAGCATATACTGAGAGAAGAGCGGGATGTGGAGAGAGGGGATGGGTTGGGGCGGGGGCATAGCGAGGACTTTGTTTTGTCTGAAGGGGACTATACGAAGCCCGTAATAGAGGCGTGAGAGCGTAGCACGATCTGACTGGTCTAAAGGGAGCTTGATGAGATTTTTGTCAACGTACTAAGAGTGCCACCATGGGCGTTCTATCCCGCTCTCTGTACGCTGTTAACACGCATTCTTTTCCATCGGGGATCTGCCTGATTTTTGAAGTCAAAGCAAGGTTGTGGTGTATGTGTGAAGGGGGTACACCTCTCTATTACCAGCATGTAGTCACCAGAAGTAAAAAGGCACTGCTGGCGCTTCAATGCGCATTTTAAAACACCAAAATCGGAATCATTGGGAAGAAAATTGTGTTTCAATACCCTAAACCGAAAATGGACAGTGTGAAGAGAAAGATCTAACCATCAACATAATTACCAGAAGACTGATCTAACCCACACATAGCTTTGTTATGCAAAATACATTTTCAGAAATAACAGTGATCTAACCCACTTATATCAGACTTGTTTAATAAGCAAAAGGAGCCAGAGTATTTTGTAATGATGTTCTACTAAACAATCTATAAATAACTTTGCTCTATTAATAGATATCAGTTAGAACAATATTGCATATCAATCGTCACGAATTCTTAAATCGAAACATGTACTAAAACGATTTTTGGAAATTTGAGGGTTAGAACACATTTGCACAACACCGTCCAAATAGCAAATTAATCGAAATTTATATTCGAATTTCAGTTGTAATTATTTTCTCAAAATTTTGAATATATTAAAAATATTATCTCATTGTGTTCTAGGAAGGGTTTCCTTGCATCGTTATCGTCGAGCAGTAAGTATTTACACCACATAGCTTTACTTATCTTTCCCTACAAGTTACGTAACAGGTAATGTATTTTCTTTTGAAGACCACAAAATATCGTCATTTTTGATTTTCGGAATACACCGAATTATTATATAATATTTAAGGTATCTTTCCCTACAAGTTACGTAACAGGTCATGAATTTTCATTTGAAGACCACAAAATATCGTCATTTTTGATTTTCGGATTACACCGAATTATTATATAATATTTAAGGTATTTAACGTTTTATTTTAAAGGCATGTGATCCTAAATATTCGGAAATCAACCCCCAACATTCTATGTGTCTTGATGACGTTGGTACGCCGGTAACATTAACCCAAGCTGAGAAACAGTCTATTGTTGATATGCACAACAATCTTCGAGAACTTCAAGATTTACCTCAAGCTACCAATATGCAGAAAATAGTAAGTCGAGAGAGAGAGAGAGAGAGAGAGAGAAAGAGAGACGGGGGGGTTAACGTCCACTCGACACAAACTCGGTCATTCCGGGACTAACATATGTTTCAATTTTATTTCATTACTTCGCTTGCGCGTAGGGATCTTTAGCAGTGGGAAGAAACCGGAAAACCAGAGAGGCTGGACAGGCGACCTTACTCCTTGTCACGTACAAAGGGGGAATCGAAACCACGCCTCTTCACTCAATGACAGACGTTATGATGCAACGCGCATGCGTTAACCATACGGCCACCTAACCCGCCAAGTCGATAATGACGCATGATATTGTTGTGAATCGTCAAACGCAGAAGATAGTAATTCTCTTGTACATAATGCCTATGTGATATTGATTAATATCACCAAGTTCACTTCAATAAACTCCACTTAAAATTCAAAATAGGCAATAAAATCTGTCGAAAGGAATTCGTAAGTGACAAGTCTTCTTTTCATTCTCCCTGTACCCATTATTGTTATTTGGGTGTTGTCGACATTGCTATTTCGGAATTTTATTCCAATTTCGAAAGTGTATGGAAATGAGGTACTCCATTCCGATTATTTCATGTTGTTTGAATTTATACTAGAAGACCATGTGGGTGGAAACGTTAACAGATGACGGTATTTTAAATATAATTTTAATTTGATGTTCTATTTAGGTTTGGGATGAAGACATAGCCAAGGTTGCATCCAAATGGGTTAATCAATGTGGCAGTGGTGCCACAGCTCACGAAGACAGCTCGGATAAAAGAGAAGTGCCATGTAGGTTAAAGTATTAATATTCTGAAGATGTCTACAGGAAGAATGATCTGTTGAAGTCTAGAGCTAATTTGTCACCGTGTGTTCAGGTTGTTGGCACAATTCTTGTATCGTGCTTGGTGATAACAATTCGAATTTCCTGGCCTTGGTAATTACTAACGACGGATATTTTACCTAATCTAAGCATTTCAAAATTGAAGTATATCACCCCCCACCCCTTAATGATCAACAAACAATTTATTATCAAAATCGTCGACAGTGTGGTTGAGGTAAGGTTAAGATTCGCGACCGTTCATTCTTATCCCTAACAATATTACCAAAAACATTTATGTATTTCCCCAGCTCTACCAGGTGTGCATATAGGACAGAACGCTGCCAACGGTTATGCCACATTTGAAGATGCTGTACAAGGCTGGTATGATGAAGTAAAAGATTTCTCGTATGGGCAAACTATGGAAATTGGTCTAATTGGACATTTTACGCAGGTGAAGCAGAACACGTGATTTATCTTTCAGTATCTCAGTTATTCTACTGTTGATCACATTATGTGAGGGCAACGTTAGTTTTAGAAAAGAAGGCGAAAACTATATATAGATTTTTTCATGCTTTTGGGTATTGACAATCATGGAAAAATATATTTTTTAAGACAATTGAAATAAAAACGAACCGACTTTAAGAAATAGCTAATATTTCGAGAAATTCCCAAATATTGAAAAGCACAATACGTCGTTTTTGTCTTTTTCTAATCAGAAGAAATATATTTATAAATAAAATAAATTGTATACTAAGTTATGTATATAATTATTGTAAATCTTTGATTTATGGGATATTTAACCTTTATTGTTTCTACTTATTGCTATTTATTTATTAGATTGTCAATGCTAATGTAGCAAGAATAGGCTGTGGTAAAGCTATGTGTAATGGTACACCCCATTACGTATGTGACTATGCAAAAGCGTAAGTAGAAATCACTACCATACTCTCCTTGTCTGTGAACATCTGGTCATTGATATAAAGGTAGTCGAATTAACCCAACCTATATTGACTAACATACCACTACAAAGAATAACAGTCTGGACAAAATATCAGCCATTTTTCTAAATGGCTATTGGCTGTTCAAGCAATGACATTACAGGTCATGTTCTCCCCATCAATGCATTATGATGGTCATTTGTCCTGTCAACCAATCGTTGACCTTTGACATTTTATATAAATTTTGCGATATTTATATTCATTGTAGTGGAAGTGAGAGACAATTGTTATGGGCTGGAATGATCAGGATTATAATCTGGGTCTTTTCACTAGAAAGAGTTCAAAATAAGAAACTTGAGTAAATTATTGATACATATTTTGTTTCGAAAACTTTTCTGTAACTGATGAAACTCAAATGCCCGCATTTCAGTCAATTTTCAAGCTACAGACCACAAATTTGACACAGTTTCTAGTTTTTACATGTACAATAACACATAATTTTTCCTAATTTTTTCGAGGGGGTTGATTTCCAAAATTTCTGAAAATTGACCCACTTGACATGGTCCTCTAGTATAAATTCAAACAACATGGAATAATCGCAGTCAAACAAAGATATTAATTTTTAAAAAGGCTACCAATATTTTCGGACAAATGTTCAAATATTAAGATAAATGATAATTTATTGTGTTAAATCGAAGATATTAAATTCATTCAGAAAAAGGATTATCTGTTTAATTATTTTCAGACAAATGTTCGATGAATTGTCAAAACCCTACGAAACGGGAAGTATAGCTGCTCAGTGCCCGAATAACGTCGACAGTAGTGGTAAACTGTGTGGTGAGTATATTTCGGCCATGCATATTACTATCACTAACATGTCTTAAGATTTGTTTCCACGTAGGGATCGCGTGGCGGTGGGGGTGGTGGAGGAGGGGGGGGGGGGTGATGTTAAGCCGCGACTTGGCCCACAACTCAAGTAAAATGGCACTTTCAAGGACATAACTGTTAAATTATGCTTCTTAGTTCACCGTTATGTCTACTAATCCACGTTATCGTTTATCGGCGAATTCCCGTGGACTATGGAAATCGGCATGATTTGGTGCCAAGCTACGCACCCAAATTTATGATCTTCATCGTACGAAAGGTCTGGCCAGTTATACACATTTGACGGTATTTTTCTGGATAATCAACCACATAAAAACAAACTTCCTGCTATACATTGCCAATGGGACATAAATTAGCTAAATTCAAGAAAGAATTGCGACCCTTCCCGAAAAAGATCCCATAATTCATGCACGATATGCACAATTATAAACAAACATGGATCGTGAAGACGAATTAGGATTGATACAAACCATACATATGATCCTTGAGATAAATTTTACAATCAAAAGCTTAGGAGTGTTGGATTTTGAAATGGCAAACAAATTAAGTGTGTTAAATATCTTTATTTAACGTCCGCTTCCACCGAAGTGATATCGCAAGATTAAGTTCATTCGTTCGTGCGATTTTTCGTCCGCTTCCAACCAGGCTGTTATCGCAGACAAGCAATACGATATTATGGACAGGTTGATTTAATTAAGTTATTTACATTTAAAGGCGTAATATATACTCTTAAAAAAAGTAGAGGATATTCAGAAAAATACAAAACTGCGGAAATGCACTGCTGTTTTATTAAAGGTAACCAGTGTATGTTAAAACAGGCCAATTGCCTACACATGAACATAAACAGTTTATATGGGCGGCTTATCTGACGGCCCCATTTCACTCGCAAAGAGATACACTGTCAAAAGTGAAAATGGACGTTTTTGATTTTTGTCTTAATAATGAGTAATTGCTCCACCAATCCTCAGACATTCAGCAATTCGTCGTGGCATTCTCCTAACCAACCGTCCAATCACGATTTGGGACAATCTGACCCACTCCTCTTGCAGTGCCACGGCCAATTCTTGCAGTGTTATCGGTTGACGTTGACGTCTCCGATCAAATTAAACGTAACACACTAAAGCACAGATACGCCAAACAGTAAATCTTATGCAAGAACCGATAGGAAAGAAAACATGGATAGGATAAACCAGCAACCGGCAGTTTTCATCAACTCTTTCTTGAAGTGTCAAATTTGACAATGAACCCCTCCTACGTGTATGGCGCTATTGCGTGTCGCACACGCAGTTCAGTGGTTCTGTTGGGGCGATAAGTTCTTCTTCATCTGTGAATTTACTCTTAAAGCATGTCAAGTGTCCATGACTATTTGTCATATCACAACCTGCATAGGTATTTGCATTTCAATATCCCCTATTTTTTTTGAAGAGTATATATAAAAAAAGAAAATGGGTAAAAACATATGGAAGACCAACCAGCTCTTTATTCAGTGTTCTTAGTTCATAGTCCTTAATTCTTATTTCTTCATTTATTGTCGTATTTCGACATTTGTACACTAAAATTAACATTTGTATCTTAAAATCATTATTTGTTTTTCAAATTAGATATTTGTTATATCAGATTTGTAAAATGTATTTTTGTTTAATTTGATTTTTATACGCCCACATTTTCATGTGGACGTATATTGTTGTCCGTCCGTCCACACTCTACAGGACACTCTACAGGTCACAACAATACTTGAAATATAGGTTTATCTCCCTCAGATCTCGGTTCTTTTCGATATTGGCATGTATTATGGATTATGGCCCCTGATTGTATGAAAAATCTCTTTTTTACCTTGTGGACCCTATAGAGGTCACAGTTTTTATCCGATTTTGTTGAAACTTGAAATGTAAGTTTATAACCCAAAGATCTCGGTTACACCCTAAGGATGATTGAGTTCAAATTTTATGAAAATCGGACCAAAACTGAAAGACAAAATGGCCGCCTCTCGTTCTCAAATGGCGTAAAAATATGGTATATCAAGGTTGTGGACCCTTTAGAGGTCAGAATTTTCTTCTGATTTTGATGAAACTTGAAATGTAAGTTTATAACTCAAACATCTCGGTTCCTTTCGATATTCGCGCATATCGGATCGTAACTTCCTGAATTATGGCCCCTGATTGTACGAGAAGTCGCGTTTTGAGCTTGTGGACCCTATAGCGGTCATAATTTTTATCCGATTTAAAAAACCGTTTTAATATATCACCGTTACACCCTAAGATTGGTAGAGTTCGAATTTCGTAAAAATCAGACCAAAACTGACAGACAAAATGGCTACCCCTCGTTCTCAAATAGCGTAAAAATATGGTATATCAAGGTTGTGAACCCTCTAGAGGTCACAATTTTCTTCTGATTTTGATGAAACTTGAAATGTAAGTTTATGACCCACAGATCTCGGTTCCTTTCGATATTCGCCAATAACTTCCTGAATTATGGCCCTTGACTGTACGACAAATCGCGTTTTTAGCTTGTGGACCTATAGCGCTCATAATTTTTATCCAATTTCAAAAACCATTTGAATATATCACCGTTGCACCCTAAGGTTGGTTGAGTTCGAATTTCGTAAATATCGGACCAAAACTGACGGACAAAGTAGCCGCCCCTCGCATATGCACGAATATCGACAGGAACCAAGATCGTAACTTCCTGAATTATGGCCCTTGATTGTACAAAATTTAGAGGTCACAAATTTTATACGATTTAAAACAAACTTGTCAATTATCACCGTTACACACTAAGATCTTGGCTCCTTTTGATAATCGCGCATATCCGAACGTAACTTCCTGCATTATGGCCCCTGATTGTTCGAAAAATCGCATTTTTAGCTGTAGATTCTCTAGAGGTCACGATTTTTTTTCCGATTTTAAAAACCGTTTAAATATTTCACCATTCCACCATAATGAAGGTTGAATTCTAATTTCGGTAAAAAAAATCGAAATGAAACTGCCCGACAAAATGGCCGCTCTTTGTACGCAAATTGTGTAAAAGTATGCAATACAAAGGTTGTGGACCCTCTAGAGGTCACAATTTTTATCCGATTCTGATGAAAGTTAAAATATTTCTTTATATCCCAAAGATCTTGGCCCCTTTTGATATTTGCACAGTTCTGTCCAATAACTTTCTGGATTATTGTCCCTGATTGTACAAAAAATCCCGTTTGTTTTTAGCTTGTTCTCTATCCATCTCTTGCAAAATGTGGGCGTATCCTGCCTGGCAGCCGCTGGTATTTTAATATAAAGACAAAATTTATTTTAGTAAATCAAAAAAATCTACATTTACATTTCATCATAGACATACAACGAAAAACTATGGTGGCTGATTGGTATCATGTCGTGCTGTCGTGGTGTCGCCCTTCATAAGGCGACAACCCGATAACCAGGCATCACGACATCACGATATTATAACCCGACACCACGACAACCCGACATCACGACATTTTTAACCCGACACTACGACATTTTCACCCGACACCACGACATTAAGAATGTCGTAATGTCGCGTAAAAATGTCGTATTGTCGCGTAAAAATGTCGTGATGTCGTGATGTCGTGATGTCGGGTTGTCGTGTTGTCGGGTTGTCGACTTTATTTATTAATGTTGAAGCGACCATGAATAATAGAGTGCTGTCCCTTGCCGAGATCATGTCAGCCCTCACTATCTCATCCTTCACTAAGAATACTTACCCTTCACTAACTGCGAATCAAGCTGGCCCTCACTACCAAATTACGGGTCTTAATACGAAATTCCAGATATCATGCTACATATCAGTAGAAAGCACGTTTACTGTTCTTTTCAATTATATAAATAATTTTCTGGCACATTTATATTTACTTGCCTTGAAAAGTGAAAAGGGGGTTTTCTCCGGGTCCTCCGGTTTCCTCCCACTCCTAAAGAACCCTACGCGCAAGCGAATTGTTGAAATAAAATTAAACCATACGTTAGTCCCGAAATGATCTAGTTTTTGTCGAGTGGACGTTAAACTCTATTCATGGCCGACACCACGACAACCCGACATCACGACATTTTTCGCGACAATACGACATTTTTACGCGACATTACGACATTCTTAATGTCGTGGTGTCGGGTGAAAATGTCGCAGTGTCGAGTTAAAAGTGTCGTGATGTCGTGATGTCGGGTTGTTGGGTTGTCGTGGTGAATAATAGAGTGTTATCCCTTGCCTAGATCAAGTCAGCCCTCACTATCTCATCCTTCACTAAGAATACTTACCCTTCACTAACTGAATGGAGGGGGGGGGGGGTGGATGGTCGGGTTGGGTCGGGTTTGGAGGGGTATTTAAAAGTTAAAATACGGGTTATCGTGTAATGCATGAGCGGAAAGTATTTATTGATTTATTTATCCCTCTTTCAATATATTGCTTATTCCTTGGTAAATTCATGATTACATGATTTAGAAGAGATTAAACACGCTTCCGTTTGAAAAAAGAAATATGTCATTATCAGACAAAAACTTATTCGTGAAAATAGACTACTTTCCATTTATTTTCTTTCTGGAAGCCCCTACCCGATTAGCCATACTACGCACGTGGTTTCACTAGAGTCGCGGTCATCGAGCGATTTTTCTTGTTGTGTATATGCTTGCTCGATTCCCGATTATTGTATGGTGACTTATTGTATGCCAGGTTGATTTCCGTTCATTTCGTCATTATATTCCGGTTCGATGGATTTCGACAAATGTTTTTGGAGAAATGTTATTGAAGGAATGTTTTTGGAGAAATGTTTTGTAAGTTTTGTATTTGGAAATTTGTTGTTCGAAATTTGTTTTTCGTTGTGTGTCTATCATGAAATTTAAATGTAGATTATTTAATTTTATCTATATATTAAAACAAAATTAAATTAAACAAAAATACACTTTACAAATCTGATATGACAAATGTCTGATTTGTAAAACAAATATTGATTTTAAGATACAAATGTTAATTTTAGTGTACGAATGTCGAAATACGACAACAAATGAAGAAATAAGAATTAAGGACTATGAATTAAGAAATAAGGACTAAGAACATTGAATAAAGAGCTGTTTGGTCTTCCATAGAAACACAAAATAAAAAGGTTGGGGTCGTTTTTGCGGAATGAAAAAAAAGCCGTGGGAAGCCAACCCGCTTGCTTTATGTGGAAAAGCGAAGTTTTCGCAATAAAAACCACATAGCCGAACCCGTGGATTATTTACATATTAAAAACTGTTTGTCCAAGTAATACCATACATGTATAGCTAAAAGTCCTTTAGAACGGTTCAAAACTGCAGCGTTTAAAATCATATATAGTTTACATTCCATTAAAGATTTTCTTGTGTGTGACCCTTCCCAGATAAAAGTTACCCGAAAAGAAGAAGAAGGGCCAACAGCAACACAGAACAGAACAATTTAACAGGTCCCTATTCCCCTTGTCATTCATTCCCTAATATATTAATTATTAAAACATACAGTAGACTGAACCGCCATACTCTCCTACAACATTAGTTCCTTCCGTTGTAACTAGATATGTTGTTCCCTACCTTAATGTCAGTTTATTTATTATGATATTGTTAAAGCATCCAGGTGGCTTAGCCGCCAACCTGGTCTACAGAAGCAGTTATCTTTCCATGACCAATGCTCTTTTTTTCGACTTAATTTAACAGTTAATTCCCTATTCTGCTATGAATTTTGAGATCGCTTCATAAATCTTATATGGCATATTCCAAGGGGAAAAGATTGACAATTTCGAGGGAATAATGAAGTTTGGCACCTTCCATTAAACTTCTTACATAGTCTTTTCTCTTCCAATTTATTGCTGGCAGTGACGACATAATGTCGCCTCATTCACACTTCACTAGTTTATAGTTATGATCGGTTATTAAATCTTCACTTCCCAGTCTTGTGATTAGCCCACAAAATTTGCGCGATGGCTGATTGACGTCAGTATTTACATTTTGGGGGGAATAATGAAGTTTGGCACCTTCCATTAAACTTCTTACAGGATCTTTTCTCTTCCAATTTATTGCTAGCAGTGACGACATGATTAACGGTTAAAATGTTGCCCAATTCACACTTCACTAGTTTATGGTTTTGATTGCTTATTAAATCTTCACTTCTCAGTCTTGTGATTAGCCCACAAAATTTGCGCGATGGTTGATTGACCTCAGTATTTACAATCAGATCATTATTTAATTTGGATCTAAAAGTATTTGCTCTGGCCAACTTAATTCTGCTAAGGGAATCTGACACACAATGACTGCTCTTTGAAAGGTGGATGACACAAGCCACTCAAGATACTGCATTTAATATTTTCTGCTGTATAGATGGAACATCCATCTGGTAGCCTTTTTTTATTTTCACATGAGCTGACCATTTTTCGTTCATGTTGTGGATTTTCTTTCTTTTTAACATCATTCCTTGGGCTTATATCAATGTTTGGATTTAATAAAGCCCATGGGGCTTGATACGAAAACACACTGTCAGTAATCTGATAGTGATGTAATCTTAGGTCTTTTAATAAATCATTTGCTCTGTGACAATTTCGAGCAAGATTAAGGGGCATGGAGTGGCTAATCAATCGAACATACGAAATGAATATATAGTTTTAATTAAATCATCTTCTTGTTCCTTCTCTTTAACGATAAACATAAACAAACACAAACATCATAAAATATATAGATCTACTAATTAGAGATACATTCATATTGATTCTAATGTATGTTGACATATTTAACAGATTGTGGTGGAAAAATTTGTTTAAATGGTGGAACTATAGACCTGGCTACCTGTACATGTGCATGTTTAACTCTTTATAAGGGCAGTGACTGTTCTGAACGTGAGTATTTTGTTTTATCAAAATCATAAATTAACAGTAGCTAATAATTTGCATATGTTTTTGACAATCTTTTCAAATAACTCAAGATCTACCCACCTCTACAGGAAAAAAAAATAATAATAATTATTTTCATTTATACAGTGAATTGTCCCGCTAATGATGGTCAATTTTGTAACAATGGCTATGAAAAGGCACATTGTGGTATATACAGCAATGTCCCCACTGAGTGTCCCTACATGTGTGACATATGCCAGGCTGGTAAGATAAGTTTTATATTATCAATTACTTATTGGATATTTCGACTTTATGGATCCACAGTCTACTTTAAATTAGACCACACTGCCTGTTCAACTGACCTGATATAAACTTTAATGATAATCGTTTAGATATTTTCACTGCCTCAGATCAGACATCAAATAGAACCGATGCTGCTAAAGCAGCAGAGCAGACCAAAAATGCTCCAACGTCGGATCCAAAAAAGATCTAATTTTTAATCTTGACGTGCTCAACTGTTTTAGATTACATAAAAATACATTCAAATAAATGAATGAATGAATAAATGGAATAGTTTTTAAGGTCCTACGTTTTCACCGACTGGCGGTATAAATGAATGAATGAATAAATAAATGAATGAATACAAAATTATAGGAAGTAGCTGTAATTTGAATTGTCAAAATGGCGGTATTTTGGACTCTGTTAACTGTCGATGTACTTGTGTTGGAGACTATTCTGGTGATCAGTGTGAAACTGGTATGTACACTATATTATACACATCCCTAATCCTTGACGTAAAAGTTATGGCCGATTCTGTATTCTACGTTCCCATAAAGATAATCTAATAAAAATAAATAACAACCACTTCTTTTTACATTTAAATAAGTGTCTCTTTTTTTTGAAAAAAAAAAAGAAAGTGACCTGTCACATTAAAAAGCTAAATTTCCAGGCTTGTCTTCATAAAAAATGTTTTTATGTACATGGGATGAATGAAATACGCATTTACCGTCACAATAACATAATTACGTTTTATAAAAAGTAGGCACAATAATATATAAAAATCTATCCAGCTCAAAACTTTAACCGCGAAAAGTTTGTCGGACAGAAAAGTCACAGCATTGGAAAGAAGTCATGAAGCAGATATGACAGAAGCATAACCAGGTATGATTAAAATATAAAAGATACTGATAAATAATGTGTTTAATATTTTTTCTTAACGTGTAACCTAATAGCCCCTCTGTGTACTCTAACATGTGATGTAAATGGTGATTTAATATCAAGTGGTACAGAATGTAGATGTCAATGTAGAAATGGTTATACAGGAACAAACTGTCAAACACGTTAGTTATATATCTGTATCTCGGTGATGGTTTAATAATTTGCTATGCAGAGAGAAAAGACCAAACTGTTTATTTCTGTTGATGATGGTTTATACATTTTGATTTTAAAGTTTATTGTAAAGCCGGCGTGTACTTAACATAAATATTCATAAAAGAATAAAACAAAAATACGTCCAGGTAAAATATTCACCACTTTACTTCATTCTGACATATATTAAATCATATGAGCTAACTGTCTATATAGGCATCTTCAGATATTAATAATGTATACAAATAGTTAAAATTTAACCATGGCAATGGATTATAAATAATATCAGGTAACGTACAACAAAAGGTTATGAAGTATATAATACATAATATGACATTGATTTACATAGTCTTCCTGGTATAATCTGACAATAGTACAATGAAGGAGTAATGAGATGAAAACAATGTGCATAGATCAATTATGTAATCTGGCTATAAATTTAACCTTTCATTAGGGTTTATATCAAACTTATACCCTAATAAACCGGTAATAATAATGATGAATTACAGGGTTTAAAAATTCCTTTATATAGTGTCGAAGTAAAAAGTGTAAAAACATATATTAAAAATTGTCTAGATATTATTATTAGAATATTAACAGGGTGGGGTGGGGCAAATAAAACATTTAAATCGAGTAAGAATTGGTCAATAAAATGTGATTCCATATTACGTCTTTTGATCATATTGTCAATTTTGACTTTATAAAAAGGGAAAATACTGAATTTAATATTTAAATTTTTAAAATGTTTAGAAACTTTCATAGGATTAGTTTGTATACTCTGTTGCCTGTGTACTCGGGTGCTTGCGCGTAGTTTAGTATATACCGCAGTCACCTATATAAAATGTATTGCATTGGTTACGCACAAGAACACAAATTTAACTTTTAGTACCACAATTCATATTATCACTGATTTTAAACGTATAATTAGTATTAGAAAATGTGAATTTAATATTAATAATCATTGGCAACATTTACAAAGAGGGCTTTGACACTTAGAAGTTGAAATTTAGCTCTAGTAACTAATTTTTTAAGGCTAGGATGTTGACGTTTACTATTAATTAAATCTATGCTATGGAATTGATTATTAAGATTACCATTAGAAAGTACACCATTCTGCGTATCATAAATATGATGAAAACGTATTATTTTGAGGACTGTGTGTCGAAATAAAGTCAATACAAGAAGAGGTATACCTTTCTCTTGGCGTTCTTAATGCTTCAGTAGTTAGACCCCTAGCTTTTTCAATACCTATGTTAATAACCCCAACTGGACAATTTTTTTTCAATAAGTCGCATCTCAATTCATCAAGTCGCCGAATTCTGAGATCTTCGTCTATAACTATAGTGCATATATATAGTCTTCTGGCAAGAAAAATGGTATATTAGTTTTAACTTGACGAGGATGACATTTTTTTTCCATTTATTATATTATATTAAAACTGGTGTGTACTTAACACAAAGATAATATATTTTATATGTTGTAAAGTAGGCGTGTACTTAACTCCATGATATATTATATATTTTAAAGCTGGGAGCTGTACTTAACTCAAAGATATATATTATATATACTTTTTATAACAATTTTGACCTAATAGCCCCTCCATGTACTCTAACATGTGATGTAAATGGTGATTTAATATCAAGTGGTACAGAATGTAGATGTCAATGTAGAAATGGTTATACGGGAACAAACTGTCAAACACGTTAGTTATATATCTGTATTTAGGTGGTGGTTTAATAATTTGCTATGCAGAAAGAAAAGACCAAACTATTTATTTCTGTTGATGATGGTTTGTACATTTTTGATTTTAAAGTTTATATTTTAAAGCTGTTGTGTACTGAACTAAAAGATATGTTATATATATTTGCATAATAATATTATTTCCACATTTTAACCTATTAGCCCCTCCATGTACTCTATCATGTGATGTAAATGGGGATTTAATATCAAGTGGTACAGAATGTAGATGTCAATGTAGAAATGGTTATACAGGAACAAACTGTCAAACACGTTAGTTATATATCTGTATCTCGGTGATGGTTTAATAATTTGCTATGCAGAGAACAGTCCAAACTATTTATTTCTGTTGATGATGGTTTATACATTTTAATTTTGAAGTTCATTGTAAAGCAGGTGGGTACTTAGCTCAAAATAGTAAAGTACCTGGATCTAAACATACATATATAAAAATACGTCCAGGTAAAATAAATCACCACTTTACTTCATTCTGACATATATTAAATCATATAAACTTGCTGTCTGTCCTCTATAGGCGTCTTCTGATATTAATAACGTATACAGATAATTAAATTTAACCATACATATGTACATTCGTAGAATAATACATTTCCATGGCAATGGATTATAAATAATATCAGGTAACGTACAAAAAAGGTTATAAAGTATATAATATGAATATCGTTCTGTTTTAGTTTTTAACAATTGTACTTTTCTAACTTATCATTAGAAAGTAGAACATTCTCGGTAGGTATCATAAATATGTTGAAAAGAATATTACGAGTATGTCGAGGATTGTGTGTAGAAATAAAGTTAACACAAGCAGAGATATTTTTTCTCTTGGCGTTCTTAATGCTCCAGTAGTTAGACCCCTAGCTTTTTCAATAACCCCAACTGGACAATTTTTTTTCAATAAATCGGATCTCAATTTATCCAGTCCCCGAATACTGAGATCTTCGTCTATAACTATAGTGCATAGTCTTCTGGCAAGAAAAAATGGTATGTTGTTTTTAACTTGACGAGGATGGCATTACTTGTAAGATAACTAATATTTCTCTATTTATTATATATATTAAAGCTGGTGTGTACTTGATTTAAAGATAATATATTATATACTCTTCCAAAAAAGAAACGCATAGTTACATTTTGTCGTCGGTATACCCTCGCTCCACCATCGCCTAATTGCAACAGGAACCGCGACTCGTCGCTGAACCAAAATGTTCTCCAGCGTGGCTGTCACCATACCCTGTGTGTCTTAACCCATTGAAGTCGATTTGACGGTGTCGGCGTATTTCAAAACAGCAGCTTTAACGGGACGTCTGATCTCCTACGCCGTCCAGGAATTGCTGTTGTAGTGGAGGTCGCTGTTGTGAACCGTTTCTGCAAATGACGTAACCGGATGTGACGATCCAGGGCAGGTGGGGTCACTCTTGTTTGGCCTGAGCTTGGGCGTTCTCGTGTTGAACTTCGCTGTCGGTACCTATCCCAAAGGCGAGAGCTGGTACTCTAGGAAACATTTAACAACCTGGCTACATCTGTCTGGGATTCACTTGCCTGTAACCGACCAATACCGTTGTTGTATTGGTCTTCATTCAGATGTGGCATCACTTGGCTGGTTGAGTGTTTACATATGCAACTGATTTTGAAACCGAGAATCCCGGGATTTTAAAAGCCTTAGATTTGGGTTTCATGCGAAAAGCTTGCGAAGTTGTTAAACTTATGTGTCTTGGTGCAATCAAGCGCAAACAAATATGGCCAAAAGGTAGAGGCCCGACATTTAAAACCTATAATGATTTTTTTTTTATTCTTACATAATGTCATTGAAAACAAGTAACATTTATGGAAACAAAGATCCCGTTCAAATAAAAAAAATGATGAAATATGGGCTACGCGTTTCCTTTTTGGAAGAGTATATATTATATATTTTGAAGCTGGTGTGTACTTAAATCAAAGATATATATTATATATTTTATAATAATATATTTCCACAATAATAAACCTAATAGCCCCCCCCCCCCGCCAATGGATGCCATGTACTCTAACATGTGATGTAAATGGTGATTTAATATCAAGTGGTGCTGAATATAGATGTCAATGTAAAAATGATTATACAGGAACGAACTGTCTCTATCTCGTTGGTGTTTTATTATTTAAAGCGAAACGATCAAGTGGCTAAC